ATTTATGGCGATGAGAAAAAAATTCAGACCAGTTATGTTGAAATATATTTGCATGAATTCATGAGTCGATTTAAGCTAGACTGCCATTGAAAGCCTAGAAGTACTGGACTGCCATTTCGTCTTAGTATGTAACTCCTCAATAGTGCTTATTCACAATCCAGCACGTGGGACTACTACTATCTCCACAAACTCCCTATTCTGATATATTAAGATGATTAAGAAAGAAGAACCGATAGTAAGTCTTGAAAAACTAATAGATTTTCTAAAAACCACTAAAGTCTAAGAGGTTTCATTATTTCTATTGTGAAATCCCATTGAATTGTACAAACTCTCATATGATGATTGTCTAAAAAGTGACTTCGAAATCATAAGATAATTTTAACGTTGCTGTTGCCTTGTTTATTCATTATAGTTTAACCGATCAAATGAATAATTTATGAATTATATGTATATATATTCGAATAATACAGAATTATAAATATTGTCTGTTTAGCTTAATTGATTCTTTAATTTCGATCTAATTCTATGAAACGATTGATCTGAATTTGATTACCTTCTCATTTTGTATCGGTGCATTTCATGTTGATAATAAGTAAAACTATTTTTCTCAAAAGGCATGTCAATTTTGTTAGTTGTATATAGTTATGTGGTTGCAATAATGAATCAATATCATACCTTTATCAATGAGAAAAATACAAGTTGAGCACAGAAACACATATATAAATTAAGTCAATACAAGTAATCTTATGTCAGTTAACGACACCACCTACATTTAAATTTGGTATTCTTGTTGTAGAACAAATGAAAATCTAGTTTCAAATCACACAATGACTTGGGTTAAACAAAGAAAACATTTTCCGCACACTTTTACACTAAAAAAACCGTAATATGAAGACTAGTGACTAACTTTGAGAGACATTACTCAAAATTCTAGTGAGAAACGGTGTCAAGCGGATTTCAACACTGAAGGGCGTTAAATTGATATGTTTGTTGGCAATGGATGACGGTTAAGGATATCTTCAACTAACTGAGGCTAAAAACGAAACCCACTGAATCTCAAATCGGTGGTTTAAAAGTCAAACAGTTTTTGCAAAACCCGTAAGCACAACGTTTGATCCTTGATGCGATCGTCAATACAAACTGTCAAGGACTATTAACACTAAGAATAAATAGTTGTCCATCTTCCTAATTTTGAATCCATGTTTGATCAAAACTAGTCCCTAATTTAAAACTACAAAACTAAACATTTTCCACAGCTGTCTATCCTAAAAAACAGGTATGTTGGTGTAAATTATTCCTTAAATAAAAATCACGAATAGAACAATCGCGTTATTGATCGAAATTGATCGATGACAGATAAAACTTAACGATAGTAATAATAATAATAATAATAATAATAATAATAATAATAATAATAATAATGATAATAATAATAATAATAATAATGGAATTCATGCTGAAATTGTACAAATTAAATTATAATGACGGAAATAGTTGCGGTGCATTCAGACATATGAGGGTTGAATACATTTAAGTGTATCGATTTATTTTATAAATTTAAGGTGATAAAATTTATGCATGGGAATATTCATTTTATATCATACTACGTTACCTAAACTATATCACTCAGTCCATTAATGACTCATATTGAAACAGTTCCTTGAAGTTCTAATGAGAATTCATGACTAATGGAATTCGGACATGACTAAAGTACTCCCTAATAAATAGTAATAGATATTAATCACGCTACATAATGAATTATTTGAAGTTGAAAACGTGTACCAGTGAATGCTAGCTTAACTCTTTTGACAGTTAAGTAGTCATCCCCAACTGTAGAAGTTATAGATAGATGGGAATGTATGCACATACTGATGAGGAGCTCTACATTACAATTTGGTTTAAAGCAATACTCCGATTAAGTTCGGTTCATGAGGTAAACCACATAAAAATTGATAGAATTGACAGATATACTTATATTTTGCATAAAAACATTTATTTCTATGGAAGATTATATGACATAAATACAAAAATATTTTTCTATATATCCATGACATCGTTATTCATATTATTGTGAATTTTATTTACTAATCAAACTACTTAACCTTCATATCACTTTACATTTTTGTATTGAATACATTCGAAAAATTCAAATATTTAAGTGAAGATAAATTCTGAATGAAGACGTTGATAAGGTAAAGGTTGGGAGTGGGAAATCGACTGGAAGCACGAGTAGGATGGAAACAAGCTAAAAAAAATGACTTTCTCATCTACTACTACACTAGAACAAGATAAATGGACCAAAAATATTCATCAAAAAGAAATACTACTGAATTTATCGTACAGCAATGTTTATTCGTTTGTTTGAATAAATATTTAGTATTGATTACATAATTAAGATATTACTTAAATGAAAGGAAAAGGAGAGAAGAAAAGATTTCATAAACCGAATGAAAGATATTAATCATGTGAAGCACTAGTTTCAACCAACATAAAATCTATTTTTTTTAAATATTGTAATTTTATTGACTGAATTAACATAAATCAACGCACAATTTACCTCTATGCTATGTTCTTTCACTCTCGTTGTTGGTCATTTGTTGCCAAGAGATCTGCTATTCCGATATAGATAAAACACCATAATCTTATACCATCATTTAGTGTATGTTATTATTTTCACTTCCTCATTGAAATGTCAATGATCAGAAGGGGTTTTGTGAAAATTGTAGTAATTTTAATAGTTGAGATCATAAATCAATTGAAGCTAAACCACCATGGAAAACCTGGAAGCACTGGATAGCCGTTTCCTCCTATTATGAGACTCCTCAACAGTGCGAATACACGATCCTGCCTCGTGGGATTCGAACCCAGGACCTACCAGCCCCGCGTGCGACAGCTTAACCACTAGACCACTGAGCTGGCCGGCATCCAACGGTGTTAATGTCTAACTTCAACTAATCCACGAAATTGATCTACAAAACCTTTTTCAATGTAAAAACTCTTATTCTATAAAAAAAACCCATATCTTTTAGTCTTCTCATTGTTGGTGAGTAATAATACTAATAATAATGATTAAGTAGTTTCCGGTTATGTAGAAAACAAATTATAATGGTAGCAGTGATAATAATAATAATAATAATAATAATAATGTTCCAACTCTCTATTAATTGTTCCTCTGAGTGATTGATTGATGAAATCAATATGAATGAGATGAAATAATTTATTAAAATCAACACTTGTTTAAATAAAATGATCTATCATTGACCTTGCCTAATTTATTCGGTTACTTCTCATAAAATTTAAAGTGAGAATAAAATTGAAAAGGGGAAAGATAGAGAGAAAAACAAAATAAGGTACATTTGTGTTTGATCATTTGTGTGTGTGTGTGTGTGTATCTTTGAAGAAGAAATGGAATGAATATCAATGAATAAATAAATAACAACCGTTACTATTTATAAATATATAAAACTGTAATGTTGTAATTTCCTTTTCGTGTAGTCATCTATAAGAAAAATCCCGTCTATATTATAAACAAAGATTTTGTTATTATTGGCATTATTACTGGTACAATAATAATAAATACTACTACTACCCCCACCGGTATTTTTCTTTTCAGTAGTATTCAGGTAAATTAAATGTTGATCTACCGACTAATGATGTAAACACAATCTCGTTTGTATTCAAAGAATTACTTGTGGTGATACTTTTTGAACGTCAATCAATATATCACTGACATTGATTGAATCACGTTTAATGTATGGTAAAATATTCAATCAATAAATATACATATATACATAAAACAAATAAAATCTAACTGACAAAATATCCAAAACATCATCTTGATCAGTAACACTTTGATACTTTTAAAGTGATTTATGGTGATTTAGAGTGATGTTTGGGAAACCGACATATTAGTTTTCGAATACATGAATTCATTACCAAATAATATTACTGACAACTATAATTTGTACTAATGTAATTACTACTATAATAAATAATAACAAACATTCAATACAATCAAAGTACATTAATGAAAAATTATTAGTTTACGTCATTATCTATGTACAACTTAATTTATAATCATTGTACTTTTTCTTCTCTCTCTCTCTCTCTGTGTGTGTGTATGAGTGTACATTCAAGATATTGTTTTGATTTGTATAAAATGTTTGTGTCTACCCTTTTCTTGTCATTCTTTTTCTTTTCTTTTTAAAATAAATATCTCCGTTCAGTTGTGTTAACATCAACAGTAATTCACATGACTATTTATTATTTACTAAAATGAATGTTATTTCCATTGTATACGAAAGGTTATTCAGTTACCAGTCAATAATTACTATGTGTACAAACACATATGCACATGCATACAACAACAAAAATTAAAGGGGGGAAAAGGTACAAAAGAAAAAAAAACAGTTCGTGTAAGGTTGATTGAAATTTTTTTACCGACTAGATTATGTGATGATTATGTTCACTTCAACTTAATCAGTTCAATGGGATTAGAAAATAATGTCAATACAATTTATTCTTTACTGTGATTTCTAGCTAAATAATTGTTAATACTTGTAAGTGTATTAGGTGTTAATAAACGTTTGATAAATAGTATAAGTTTATATTAACAAATACCTATTGAATATACGATTGATTATTGTAACTACATTTCTGAATCAGTAACACTTTGGTACTTTTAAAGTGATTTATGGTGATTTAGAGTGGTGTTTTGGGAAACCGACATATTAGTTTTCGAATACATGAATTCATTACCAAGTAATAATAATAATAGTAATAAGTAATCAATACATCTACTATCTCTGTCTGCAATCGACTTGTCGTAGTATTTGGCAAACAAATAATTATGTATATTGGATGGAAACTGATTGCGGAAAAAGATGATATTTTTGTTGTGTTTTCAGGAACTTATATGAATTGAAATTAAAATCCTACAGAGAAAAAAGCTCCTAGAATTACAAAAAACAAAAACAAAGAACTAATTGTGTTTTACTTACCCCGACATTTGGTATCCTCATCAGTGGCTGCTTTTACTGATTTGATTTTTGTTTGATCCGGTGGCAATTGCCATAATTGTTCATCATCAAAATTTTCTGGTAATCCTTTTATGTATAAATTCGTTCTTGACATTTTCTCAGCTCCTGTACTCGCATTGCCATTTTGATGTAATTGTGATTGATGATGATGAGGGTGATTGTGTGTGGAATAATTGGTTTTTGAAAATTTCTTGCCAAATTGATTAACACCACCTCCATCTCGATCTCCATCACTACCAGTAACACCACCACCTGTGATACTATTACTACTGCTATGCTGATCCGATGTCATTGTGATATCATTCATACTACTCATTGTTGTATTTACGTTTATACTAGCTGGCTTTGGATTATTGTTATTATTATTATTGGAACATTGAATGGATTCATTAGATAAATATCCCCTAAGACCACCATTTTGTTCAACACAATCCGCTAAATCTTTCATTGATTCTGTACGATTTTGTTCAATTGAATTAGGTGAACGCATTTTAGTCGTTTGTTGTTGTTGTGGGCATGGATCAGGATAGATGTATGTTTCATTCGATGTTGGCATGTGATAATGATGAGGAGTTTTAATTAATTAAACGAAGTAATCAGTGAAAAAAATAGTTTTTTTTTGTTGTTGTCCCAATAAACTTAATTCCTTTCTTTGATATTTCCAAAAATAATATGAACCATGAAAATAAGTTCTCGAATGCAGAAAAAAAAACGATCTGAATTCTTCTTTAAAGAAAGATGTACAAATTTAAATCTTCCAATACCTGAGGATTTACTGTAGACGTATTTGTTGATGTGTTGTGGTATACACGTGTCGTTATGTATCCTAATAATAAAAAGTTGATTTGAATAAGATGACCTCAATTTTAATGCGTCACAATAGTTAACCTGTTTTGACGTAATTGTAATAATATTCAAGACTAGTCACAGTTTCCAATCTCTTACTCATAATGTCGTAGATAAAACTATTCCAAACGAGCACACTTTCTATACGAGAATATGATATGTTTGTCTATCTATCAATGTATATATTTGGCTTGAATTCACTTCTGAATTTATGCCGTACTATTAATATCTTAATTCATATGCACATAAACCAATACACATTATTCAAAGAGTTGTGTACCTGTTTTAAATAACCATTCAAATGAGATATCCACTATCACATAAAATGAAATGAGCGATACACGGACAGAGAGGAGATAGAGATGTAGAAGAGTGAATAGACAGGTAAATTTATATCTTTGGTCTAAGTTGATGATTTCAAGAGGAAAAAAAATGCAATTAGTAATAATGACTATATCCATGACGTACTAGTTTTTTTCTCTTTTTTTTCCCCCCAAACATACATACAATTTGCATGTCGTTATGTTTATATTACAATTGATAAGCGAACAACTAAATCATAATAAGAAACAATCATTCTTATTGGTCTATATGTTTTAGGGAATACCACTTCTTTTTTTTTCTTCTGTACATTGAATATCTCTAAACAACATCTAACACATTCTATCAACAAATATTCGATTACTGTGTTTTATCCCAACAGTTATGATGATAATGAAGATAGAAATGACTTTCGAGGTTAATGCAAGTGTATGATTGACAGAAATTTCTTCTATTGTACACTACAAATAATGAGGTAAACAGACATAGTCACACATACGAATGTATATTTATATGTGCACACACACACACAGACATAGTAGAAATTCTAATTTGGTAATTTCATATGCGATTATTTTCTTTGTTTCTATTCCTATGACTATGTTAGAGAAAACAAAATAGTTAAACTATAAAGCTATTTTAGATTTTTATTATGAAATATCGATATAAAAGTAACTGTAGGCTGTAAGATATAACATAACTTGAGCATCGAAATAAAATAGAAGATATAAAGTAGTGACTAATGTCGTGTACGTTCTAGTCCCTTAAATTGCTAATTCTAATGCTAATCTAATTTTAGTTATCAAGTGAAATAGTACGAAATGTAGGTTCAAAGTTTCCTTCTGACGACCTTCACCCATCTCACATCTTAATATAGTGCACACGATACCAGGTAACTTAGACTAATAGTCACATTATGACTCTTAATTGACAGAATTCAATCCGAACTAGATAATCATGACATTGATCAATCAATTAGAAATATTTCTCAGTTAATTGTAACCTGAATAATTCATGAGTAATGTCTCAAATTGTGAAGCTAAGTGATTAGGAAACGAATCCTCAGGTATATCGTAATGAAGATTCCCGACTAACATGAAATCTAGGTTCAGGATTTCTTATCGACTACTTCAAACTATCTAACATACTTATTATGTATATTTTATTCATTTTGAATAATGATAATAATAATAGCATAATCAGATTTGAACGAACTGCAGCTTAGGTGAATTCATCACTAATCACTAAGTCACAACTTATCACTTGACTTGATTTGTTAATACCGAAATCTTAAAAAATGTTACCATGAATAAAAATAACTTACTGAGTATTATCTCCTTGATCTTATGACCTTATGAATACGGAATTGAATAGAATTGTTTCGACAAGGTGAACATAAATTTTTTAATAACAAAATTGAGTTTTTTTTGTTTCTTTCAAATAATGAATAAAACGGCCACTTAATAGTAACACTATTCGATTTAAACTTTGAACTATCATAAGAATAATTAAAACAGGTAGTAGTTAATGGCAAATATCGGGATTTGAGTTTTAATTGGCAACATGGAAATACAAATATATTCATTTGACATGTATTAGTGCTAAAAAGGATTTATGGAGGCCTTCACTGACACATGAATTCATTATGCAATCATTTTCCAATTCTGTACCCAATTTAGAAATGAACTCAATAATTTCCGTCACATCTCCATAGTATGGATGATTCAGCAAACGTGTGTGTAATTTGTCTATAAATTCAAACTGATTCTTTTTAAAACACTGCTGTTATCGCTGATATAGCAACTGTGATTGATCGGAAGGGAGAGCCATTTTATATTTCTTTATGAATCATCATGCTAATGAAAAATACTGTATGACTTATTAATAACCAATGTCGTTCAACGATACCGACGACCATTCTGTATGCTGATTGTCCAAAATAGTTACAGTGATTTTCGTCCAATTACTGGTTGAACTCGGTTCCTTTGTTTGAACCCCATCGCTACTGAAATGTCTTGTCGATTTGACGCTACTTGTTATATCTGGTCTTCGCTGATTGTTGTGGTGGATACGCTTATCACTTATACTCGAAACGAAGGACTTCTTCAGTTGCCACGATGAGAAGGTTTATTAACCCCCGAAACACGATTATGACGATGACCCTAGTCGAAAACACATTCATTTATATATTAATTGTACACACACTTTGATTAATAATTAAGATGAAATCACATATATAAAAAATACTCAGTTATGACAAATCGTATGCTGAGCATAGGTCATGTCAATTGAATACAAGAATATCGTATGTTATACAGAATAAAAAGGTCATACGGGAAAACTCAACCGAATACTACACTGAATAATCACCACATTGAATTAAAAAAGACGAGAATAATGTTGAATAAAAATCATAATGAGTGAATCAATCTAATTTTCACTTTTCTTCCCATCATATAACAATCAAATTCTGCTTCAAAAATGCTTATGACTTAATGATAATATTGAGGTATCCTTACGGGATGTACATATTCTAAAAAGAGACTGATCAATTGAGGTTCTAAACGTCAATGGGTACATTCAGACAACTAAACAAATAAATTTACTTTTCAGTTCAATAGTTTATCTGCCTTCCTCTATGGATAAGGTTCACTGCGTCATTCTTTTTTTCAGATAATCAATGTCTTTTCTTTATTCAATGTCACATTGAGTTACTTCCTATATTCTATCATGTGTTTATCGCCATTTCGGTCCTGAAATTTTTTGTAAGGAAATCTATTTATTTATCTATTTATCCATCTTTAGATAATATTCCCAAGTGGATAAACCAATAAATATGGTAAATAATGATTACTGTTTCATAAAAATCAATATGAATATCTGGGTTCTCTGTGATAAATTTTGAACAAGATAAGAACAGAACTGAATAGAAAGTGAATCAACATAGGAAAGAAGTAGAAACAGTAGTTTTCATTCGAATGTGTGGATATTGTTAATTAACCAGTAACCATGATCTCATTATACATGATATAAATAGGATTAGTGTAAAATACTATTAAGTGGCATATCAAAGTGAATTAACACGATAGTCAATCCCTCGAATGGTTGTTATGTAAATCCACAATTAATATAAGACAGTTTCATGTGGATAGACCTACTTCTTAAACTGACCAAATCATTCCATCTAAAACGTTTTATGCATTCAATTTTTTAATATTCCCACTCAACTATATGCTAAATAATCGAAGTTTCAATGAATAATAACAGTAATAATGACAATAATAAAGTAGCATTGCGATTAAAAGCAAAAACTGGTGAAGCAGTGAGTGATTTAACAAGATTCAATGTTATACTAAAAATGTGGAGTAAGAGGATTATAAACCAGAGAATTAAAATTTATTTATTATGTTAAGGTGACTCGTGGTAATTGATCATTCAACTTCATGATCATTTACATCATGAACTGTCTCCAATTAAACCAATTAGTTACTTCCATTAGGGAGTTCCAAAATTCTATTTGGAAAAGTCAGTAAGGATTGAGGAAACACAAGGAAACATTTTGTCAAATCGGGATAGAATAGAAATTTCTCTGGAACAACTAGAAGGACGACAAATCATTTTCCATCTTTTTGATCGAATGATTATCTCCTTACTGATGTATTTGTTTTTCTTCTAGTACTGTCTAGACGACCAAGGTCACGTTAAGTGGTATGACTACACACAACTATCTGTTCATACATTTATCTTGGAGTAACGTTCTTTTCTATACTTCGCGCTTTTTCTCTTGTATTCAAGTTATCGTGCAAATTTAGTTTGTGGTTGATAGAAGCGGTTAGGAAATTTGATCGAGCATTCAATATATAGATTTCTCAGTTTCATTGTAGTATGAGACTCCTATTCTCAGTGGCAATCACCAATGAACATGACTGAGTTATAGCCAAATACTTTCAGTTTGAATTCCGATCATTGTGTCGGTAATCACAAAAAATTGATGAGAAGGTTTGCAAATTGAAGTTATGCATTCAGTTTGAATATAACAAACTTATAGTCGCCATGGCAACTAGGGTTTCAACATGTCTTCCTTTTTTGTCGATAGCAATAAAAATTAAAGTAATTCTACTGAGCGCTGATTGTAATTATGTTCTCCTAGTCTTCAGTATTGTTTATATTCAAGATGAATATATGATCGTTAGGTGAAGTGATTGATTATCATATTGAACTTGGTTTAAATGTTTCGGGGCTGGAGACGACGAACTGTTAAGCCTCAGCATATCTTGATATGTTGGTTCTTGTTTCCGATATGTGATTTATGTGATCGTAGTAATGGTAATAATAATTATCATTAATATTTACAGCCATACATATATATCTGATTATTTCCAATGACAAAACACACCAGTGGTTTCACACGATTGTTGGAAGTGATATTCAAACATTTACTGTACACACTAATAAATTACAAAACAGAATTTGACGCCGTTTAATATCAAAAATTCTTTTCACAATTTATGGTGACCAATTACTTTATTTTATTCGTCAAATTTCATGTACCAAGATCAAACTATATTCGCCTTTGATTAATTGAAAAAAAAGAAACAAACTGAGCATTTTCCTTTTTTCTTAAAAGGAAAACAGTAATTCCTAGACCAGTTCAATGATTTTCAATGTAGATCATCAGTCGTTTGGGGATACAAAGGAGAGCAATAGAAGTGATATTAAGTAATGCACAAATTGGTACATTCTGAAAATCTCTTTTATGAATTTATAGCATAGAATGAAACAACATACTAATCATCTACCATCTATTTCATTCGTAAAATCCATGAGTCGATCTAAACTAGACGTGACCGTTGTTGCTACCTTGACGTGGTGGTCGGGCTCGCCTATCGTGATGAAGCAACCGAGATATAATGGCTGAAAAAACCGTTCCTCAAGGTCCTATCATGCCAGACAGGTGGGTTGAAGAACGGTAAGACTAAAAGCAACAAACCTAAGGTCCGAGGGCGAAGTCGTACTGCTGACTGTATAGATGTGTGACAGCAGTGAGGTGTTTCCTTCAAAGAACCAGCATAACAGCAATGCTGCCTTCCCACGAGGAGAGTTGTAGTTAGAAAATGTCGACCCTAAAAATGCACACTTCGCCTTATCCCACGGATATCCGACTCCGGCGGTAAGGTTTCAACAAGTACGAGCTAACACAAAAATTACTCACAAATAGGTCATGCGTGACCGACCTCAAGCAGTTGTCCCTTGAGCACTGTGGTCACGCTCTCAGGTCACTAAGACCACCTCTAATCCAATTTCCTTTTCAGGTACCTCCAGAAGAACCCTTCCATGGTGTGAGCAACTGGTTAGTGATAACCAGCCTTCTTCTAACAGCACTAAAGACCACTAGCTCATTGACTGACTGATTTAAAGGTTAAGCGTTCGCTCACGAGACCGAAGGACCTGGGTTCCAGTTGTGCATGTAAGGTCGGGGATGCACACTACTGAGGAGTCTTATACTAGGACGAAACAGTAATCCAGTGCTTACAGTTTTTCTATAATTGTCTAGCTTAGATCGACTCACGAATTCAACTACTGAAATTAATACAATATCAATTCACTGGAGAACTATTGAATCTTTTTCAAGGTTTCTGATCACATTTACTTTGCAGCATTTTACATATAGTTCTTAAATAAATATTTTTAAAAATACGGTCTAGAAATTTTGTATTCGTTCTGTCCGTTAAACTGAAATTAAATTGATTTGACTGAGCGACGAATAATCACAAAAATCAAATTGTTGGCACAATGCCCTCACTCTTGTAAATAATTAGTTAATTAGTTACGCCTGTTATAACTTATGGAGTAGCATAGGTTGTCCACCAGTATTCTCAATCCAACTCTGTCATGAGCAATCCCTTCAAGTTATTTCCAGTTGATATTCATCCTTTTCATTTCTGCTGCCGATTCACAACACAGAATGTTATTTCACCTCCCACGTTTCCTCTTCCATTCACGATCCCAAGATAAAGCTTGCCTCATGTTGCAACGTGTGGATTGCAGGCTCTGACAAGCAGCGTTTATATCGATCGATCACAGTAACACGGAAAACACGTAAGGACGACCTAGGGTTCTGATTGGCCCTGCTTCCCTGTCTAACCCAGCCAGTTGAGTCCAGAACACAAGTCACAGCCTCTGAGTTATGAATCATTATATTTCAGACACACTCTATTTATATACCAAACAAACAAACCACATCGTACCATAAAAATAGAAAACAACACTTACACAATATTTAACAAGTGAAATAAATATCGAACAATGGGAAATGTCCATTTAAAGTCCAAGGTCACCGTTAGACTTAACACGATAATTATTGGTATATTATTCTGCATCCATAACACCTCATGATACAGTTTGATGATTTCTTTAATGTATGTCCTCAATGTATCTCAAGCGTCTTTTCCTTATTACCTCTTCAACTTGAAGCTGGTTTGTCCTCTCCAATGATAGACTGTTGCTAACTATATCCGATCGATAGACAATGAATATCTTCAGTAGATTATTGTTGATAAACATTTGTACTCTTTTGATGATGGTTGTAGAAATTCTCGATGTTTCAGTTCCATATAGTAGAACTGTCTCGACGTTCATATCGAAAATTGTGACTTGATAGTTGTTTTGAGTAGCATATGTTTTTCAATTATAGGAATGTTGTCTTTGCTATGCCGATTCATTACTTTTCGTCTGCATCGGACCCTCTTTGATCATTGATGATGTTGACTGGGTACGTGAGAGTTTCCACCTCTTCCAGAGTATTTTAACAGTTGCATTCACAAGTCGATCTATGCTATTATTATTATTATTATTATTATTATTATTATTATTATTATTAATGGCTTTATTCAATATTTTGGTACAATATAGAATTCTCACCACTGAGAACCTGAAAGTACTGAACGACGGTTTCGGCCTAGTTTGGGACTCCTAGATAGTGCGCATCCCCGATCCCACTCAGTGGCCTAGAGGTTGAGCCTCCGCACACTCGACTGAAGATCCTGAGTTTGGGTCCCTCGTGTGTGGTCGTGGATGCGTACTACTGAGGAGTCCCGTACAAGAACGAAACGGCCCGTCAGTGTTTCCAAGTCTTCAGTAATGGTCTAACTTAGACTGACTCGTGAATCCAACAGTCAAAATGCTACAATCTCCACAAATTCACA